TTACCTCTGCAAATTGACTTGATTCACCTTGTCCTTCAGCAACTTTTGTGACTCGTCATGTAGGACTCCACACAGCAGCTTTCCACCTTCGATGTTTTCCTACAACAAGACCCATCAGTAAACAAGGCATACTGTTTCTCATTATCTGAGAGTTCATTATATGGTGGAGCTTCCTCAGCACGTGTCACCGCCTCCTCTGGTGGCATTCCAAAGTCTTTGCCTTCGGGCCAATTTGTGATCACTTCTACGATCCCTGGATGATTTGGGTTTCCTGTTTGAGCTCGCTGTGTGATTAAGGCCACCCACTTACTCCAGGTAGCATCGGTGGCATGAGTAGAAGGAACTTTACCCTTGAACATCCAGTCCAGTACTGGTAATTGGGGCACAAGGAGGAGCTGTGCCTCAGTACCAATTACTTCTGAAGCAGCTCTAACTCCTTCATATGCTGCCAAGGTTTCTTTTTCAGTTGGAGTATAGTTGGCCTCGAAGCCTTTACATCCTCGACTCCAAAACCCTAGTGGTCGACCTCGAGTCTCCCCTGGTGCTTTCTGCACCAACAGCAAGGCCAGGATTGCTGTTTGTAGTCTGCACAATTTCCATGCCCTGTAAGAGTAAATTCAGGGTGGTTAGTGTGTGTGACCTCTTTTGGCCTCCCTCTAGCACCCCCTCCATCCATCTCCTTCTTTTGCTCACAAGATGTCTGTAACACTTGTAGCTCTGAATTAAAATAAGAACTATAATCAAATCCTAAAGTTTTAGATGCTTGTGTGCAGTCAGGAGGGCTTTTTCTCTTCCCATTGCAGAACCGGCCATACTGGTATTCTGATGCTTTCCCTTCCTCTCCCAGTCTTCTGATATCACTGAACCTGGCCAGAATTGGAGATGGGACTTAAAAAAAAAAAAAAAAAAGGGGGGGGGGGGGGGAAGAGGGCTTTTCCTAGGCTTAGCTCATGCAATTTGATCACAGAGTTCAGGATTAAACTGACTGCCAGGACTGGGTTAAGGAAGGTGTATACATCTCAGCTGGCTTGGTAGAGACTTTGGCAACTGGAGTAAATTGCTCATTCCTTGTGACTCATCATTAGCCTCCTGAAGGCTAAAATGTGTTAGTTTAAATAAAAGTTACTGGACCCCATCTAGGAGTAAATGTTCTGCTATACAGCAGGTCATACTTTTAAACTGTAGGAAGGACTCATGAAACTGTTTGCTACAGAGATATTTCCATAGAGTGATGCAAAAGTCTCATATTTGCCTTCTTGGCAGCAATGAAATCCACCCAGAACAACTTGACCAGCCTGTAGTTATTTTAGTTCATTAGCAGCATCAAGCTTCAAGCTATCATATGCTAAAAGAAAGTTCCTTCATTATAACTCCTGTAAAACTGTCAACCGACCAATGGCTTCCACTTTTCACTTGTTTGCCAGTGGTCCAGCAATTACAGAGACAGTTTTACCATGGTTTTCAAATGATCTTTCTCAGACAGGTAGGAAAGACCAGACATATTTTTACCTGGTTCAGAACCACTCAGTTGGGATCAATCTGCACATCTCCCTCTGGGTCCAGCACCACTGTCTGATAGGCCCTGAAGTCTGTCAAGGTGACCTCTGCATTCTCAGGGCATACATCGATCTGATCAATCCTCATCAAAATCAGACTCGCAGACATCCCCAACTCCATCACCTGAGTGCGTCAGGGAAGTGAAAGAAGATTTACAGTGCAGCAAGTAGCCACATCTGGCCTAGCCATGGGATCAAGGAGCAGGTGGAGTCTCAGCTGCAGTGCCCAGGGAGGGGACCCGAGGAGCTCTGCCTCACCCAAAGGGCCCCTGTGTGTTGGGGTCCCTCCTGGGACAGAGTGCCATGCAGTGAGTGTGCACACATGGTGACTGTCCCAGATCCCAGTGTGCAAGTGTAATACCTGGGGAAGGATGTAGTGCCTAAGCATGGAAACAGCTCCTGAAGGCCCAGCTTACCATTACCATCTTCCTGCCCTGGGTGAGCGGACTCAGGCAGGATGCAGGAACAACCACAAAACCATGGAGGAAAGACAAAGAACAAATGTAATCTCAATACCTCGCAAATCAGGGAATCTCCGAAGCAACACCCAGGCAGAGGAACGTGAGCAGGGCATGCAGGCACTGCAGAGCGGGAGAAAGTCCTTGTTAGCAGGAGCGTGTGAGCTCTGACTTGCTGTTCTTGCCTGCTTCTCAAGGGTTCAAGCAGGCATAGTTTTCCACTGCGCTTTGATCTTCTTCAACAACAAGGCAGTGATCTCATGTATGCTAGATAAGGTGTCCCTGAGTCCATCCCAGGCTTACGTTATCTAAGTGCAGATGTTCTACTTGCAAGCACACAAAGCTGAAGAACAATTAGTGTGATATGTGTGTTGTCCAGCACCCCAGATGTGAGTCACTTGAGCGTGTTTACAGTCCTCCTCGCCAATCTTCCCACACCATCGTTATCATCATCTTTGTCATGCTCATCACCCAACCAGTCCTTATCTGTGTCTAGCTGGGAGCTGTTAGTGGTGGTAGGGCAGTTGTCTGTGCTGTCCTGGTGCCCATCACCATCACTGTGAGTACAGAGACAAAAAGAAATGGCACGCCAACATCAACTCCTGTCTCTGCATGGGGGAGAACACGAGTACTTGAGCAGGAAAAGCACCGGAGGCACCTCCAGAGCTGGGAAATGGACCAGTGGGGCACTACAACCCGGTGTCACTCAGGTCGCTGAACAGCAAGGAGACAAGGAACAAACAGAGACCATGCGATAAGGCAGCAGGAAGATGAAGACTAGGCCTGGAGCTATAAAAATACTCAGATAAGGAAAACAAAAAGAAGCCTTACATAGAATGTGAAAAGATACTAAAGCCCAAGATCCCAAACGACATCCACTCCTAAAGTGCATGTAAGATACATCCAAAAGTGCAGTGTCACCAATCAAAAGGCACTCAGGAGACAGCAGGAGCTCAACAGCTGGCATCCCTTGTTGTCCACAAGGGCCCTGGTGCTCATGAATGTGCGAGTGTGAGTATGAATGAAATTTATAGGAAAATCTCCATGAGCACCTGAAAGCAGACTTGCTTAAAGTACCACTTTCACCCTCCTGCATACCAAGTTTTGTTACATTACTTTCCTGCAGGGAAGTAAGGAGGAGAGGAAAAAGTCTGCTGCTTTCCAGCCCCCCCCCCAGCCAATGGCTGCATCAGCTGTTTACAAGTGAAGAGTCACCAGGAACAAGGAGACAGACTATAGAAAAGGGTTTGGGAAGTTATGGGGTGGCTGCCTTATTTCTCCATGCCAACAGTTAAATGCATCTGTGCAAAAAAATGGACTTTTAGAGAAAACTTGCTTGTGTCAGAATTTTTTTTAACCCAAGAGCCATGGTAATTGTTGCATTTCAAGGATTCTGGGTGCACCAGCCTGATGAGATTTGATTCCCCAGGAGAGGTGCAGGGACACTTCAGACCTGTGCCGAGAGATCAGGTCAACAGCTACAGCAATGGCCTGAAGTCAGGTGTGTTTTGTACAAACACCATAAACAAAATGTTTTCTGGCGATGAGCAGGCATGTTTCCCCTCAGTAGCAGCACAGAGGTGATGTGCAGCCAAATTAAAGCAGTGCTACAGTTTATAGCTATGCATATTCCCACCTATCTCTCCCTGCTTAAGAGAACTGCTCTGAATGTCACTTCCACAGGAACTCACAGAAAGCATGTGTGAACGTGGGGCTAAAGGTGAAGGGCTCAGTTACTATACTGCTACAGGGAAGTGAACCAACAAAGCTTATAAATCCTAACATTGTTTTGAAATAACATCTCTTTGAGGAGCTATTGAAATTAAATCCAGCCTAGTCTGAGGGATTACAGGTCTCCAAGAATCAGTAGCATGCTTCAGCTCAAGACTAGCCTCTTCCACTTCCCTGCTGCTGTTATGAGCCATGAGACAGCATACCTGTCCTGATTGGTATCACGGGAATCTCCAACCAGGTCATTGTCAACATTCAACTGCAAAAGAAAGTGGAAAAAGTTGCAATATCAGCTGCTGCAGTATTAAAACACAACCGAATCAAAACCAATTAAAATAAAAGCATGGAAAAACATTATTTTTTTTTTTACAAAATGTGTTCTTCTTGTTTGCATCATCCATTTAACCAAAAAGTCAGTTTGATTAAAGAAAAAACAAAAAATTAATAAACAGGGTTAAACTTGATTGGAGCAGTTCAAGCAAGATTCGTCTACTACTGGAAATAAGTATCCCTCATTTCTAACCAAGGTTCATTTATTAACAGCTTTAAACATCTACCATATTTCTCTAAAGTTTCCAGTATTTTTTTGTTAGTAACAAAGGGCTTCATCAGAATTTAAAACACATCAGAAGTCTCACTGACTTCTCACCTAGGATCAGTGAAAGTTTTCTAAATAAGGACATCAGTATGATCCTAATTAAAGAAATACCAAGTGTAACTAAATCACACCACTGTGTGGAGTGTGGCATTGGACTCCATGGGACCAGAGCATTTCCATATTTCAGAGCATTGTAATAGAAGATACTGGTGGGGGAGATACTATCAACATCCCAAGGTATGAGAATCACCTGGTGGCTCCCCTTTCCAGTGTTGAGAGAGTTTGAAGCTCCATAAAACTTTCCTGAATACCTGTCGTTGTAGAGAGTGACACGACTCTGAATATCAAGTTGCAGCAATCATATATTTTATTTTACAAGCAGTGCTCTTTTATATCCTTTTACCTGGATGCTTATCTGTGCATATACTCTACTATTCTACTTTTGCCCAATCCGCTCTCACATCACACACCATCCAGACAATACAATTGTTGATCACGCGCTGTTCATGCTCTGGGAAAAGCCAGGATGTTTTCCAACCCTTATCTTGTTTGCTCAGATCTTCTCAGGATTCTCCAGTCTCTTCAAGGGTACACGAGTATCTGCTCAGGGTCAATGTTAAACTTGTATTCTGATCCCTCGGACCAGCCGAGTTCTCCCACAAATACCTACTGTTAAAAGATAAACACTGTGGCTGCATGGGATGTGTCCTGCTTCCGGCAGGGATGGGGTTAATCTCCCCAGGAGCCGGCAGGGGGCAGGTATTCCATACCACGTGACCCATGCCCGAGCTATAAGAGGAGCTAGCCGGGGCGAGGAGAGGAGTCGCCACTTGGGGGTGGGCTGCGGCGGTGTGGGTCCGGTCTGGGGGTGTCTCATTCTCTTGCATCTCCAGCAGTTCCTCTCCCTAAATGGGGATAGTTTTTCCTTCTGCCTGCTAACCTGGTTTGGGTTGCTGATTGTAGGGCAACTATCACAGGCATCACCAACACCATCATTATCCTGGTCTTGGTTGGGGATCTTCTGACAATTATCCAAAAAGTTCTTAATACCTAGTGAAAAGTGGATTGGATGTTAGTTAAAAACAATTCCCATTATTTGTTATTGGACAACATGAGTATCAAGAAGAGTAAAGACACTATTCCTTTTCAGCAACTGCTTAATCTTGCAATGACATTATAAACATGCGCAACAAATCTTTCTTATGTGTGCATCTGTTCATTTAGTAGAAGTAAGAAACATCTTGCTAAAGAACAGCTTTCAACCCAATCACACGCACTTCATTCTATCCTGTTCCCTGTATCACAGCTTACAGGATGGGACATTTAATCTTCATTATTACATCTGAAGGGTTGTGATTTTTTCACTTCTTTTAAGCCTCCTACAGGGATGAAAATAATACATTATGTAGCTCTTGGGCATCTGGGACAGGCAGCAGCTGGATACTCTGGGACATGTTTACACGTTTAAGGAATTACTGAATGACCAATGACCTTAACTTATACATGAAACATGGTTCGGTTTATCTGTTATGAAGTGTTCACTGCTACAGATGGAGGCTAAAATATATAAATTAATCTAAATGAAAAGGATTCCAAAGAGAGGTTTTGTGAAGAAAGGCGATGTGTTACATGACACAGCAGCTGGTGACAGAAAACCTACTAATGCATGGCACATTCTGGGCAAGTTTCAAGAACATCAGAGAATCTGGAAATTACAAATTACCAAACATCTCCATCCATGTCATCATCACAAGTATCTCCTTTCCCATCACCCATCCGTGTCCCTCTGGTCATTATTCAGGACATAGCAGCAGTAGTCACAAGCATCTCCAAAGATATCTTGGTCACTATTTCTCTGGTTAACATTGGGATCCAAGACACAGTTATCCTGCAAGAGACACAGATCCAAATCAGACATGAACCTGGCCCCAAATCTTTAATTTATACTTTAGTGGATTTATATAACTCCGTGGAATAATTGCTAAAATGATCAAAAATACAGCGTTGTTCACACATTAAGGAAAGGTATGAAATCAAAAGGTTTCTAGGGTAGAATACAGCCACAGCTGGTATGTGAAGAATCCACTACATCTGTGATTCTCTGTACAATATTGCTTGCAAAGCAACACGGGGGTGGAGTGGGGTGGAGATCCTACAGCCAAGCCCTGTGATAATACAGCAAATATGGGAACAAGATGGTCCTATGGAACTGATAAGCTGCATACTTACTACCCTGAGCCAACAGTTTGTCAAATTTTGACAAAATGCTGTCCCTTGGTGAACTTTGCTCATTATAATGTCATTATAATACCAAAACACACCTTCATCCCAAAGGCTACCCAGCTCCAAGGTGCGACCACTCCTCCTTGAGTCTG